AATTGGTTGCGAAAGCTAGTATTTATTCTTGTACAAGGGTGTGTGCAGTGAGTGAGATAGCTGAGTGTGTAACAAGGTTCATACTACTAGTGGAGGCTTTTATTGGCTGAGGCCAAGAACCAAGGTTTTTCCCTATTGATAGGGTTTCCTTGTATATCTTGTATTCTTGTGATTTGTTTGATTGCATTAGTTTTTATCTTCTATGCTATGAATGTTTCTACTCCAAGTGAAAAAAGGAAGAAATTACCTTGGACCAATTCAACCCCCCCTTTTTGGTCCAACACTACTAACACGGAACCTTACCTACGCTACACCGCGATACTCATGCCAACCAAAACCAACCAGACAAGAGTACCAACGCTCACAACACACAAACACTAGAAACAAACACAGCCCCTCCGACACCGCATCCCGTTCCATCTGGAAATCATTACTCCCAAATGATAACCTCTAAGCCGTAAAAGGACACTTTACCACCCATTCCACTTTCACCTTTCAAGGCGACACTACCTCGAACACCGTACACACAAGACCCATGACCTTAGGCACAACAACCCACTACTTGCCACAAGAAAAAGGTGCCTATATGGCAACATCGTCATTACTAACTCTAAAGACTAAGCCGACCACAATCGCCTCAACCGGCGCACGACCCCATCACCTACTTGACAACATACAACAAACAATTCATAATCCCCATACCACATTCGGGTCATACCTTAAACCGTCCTGCTCATCAACACTAACATCTCACTATAACACCTCTATTACTATTCTTCCTGAAGGACAACTTGTACCTCTTATCTCACCAGACCATCAAGCCACTACCAAGTGGTTCTTCCTCAAATATCCTTAGGACAACACCACCGTGACAAGAAAATAAGCATTACTTTTGATACTTCCCATAACGACCACTATTTACCATTAGAAAAGAACCTCTATACGGTAATGTCATGCCGACAAACCCTCAAAACAAAATGAGCACAAATCTTAAAATGCTCAACACCTAATTGTCACCTCAATACCATCAATGATGCCATCAATCACTAACACTTAACCGACAACATCAAACCATTCTTTCCAAGTGATCTACGCATCCAAACAAGAAAACTTCATACCCTAAGTTCAACATCGTTACTTTTCCTCATTCCCATTCCTTAACATGCAATGCATCTAAATCATCTCAAGTCCTACTTAGGTCGACCCTACCCGTCATCCTTAGGTTTTCGAACCTAAAGCTCTGATACCAATTTTGTAACGACCCAAAAAAAATAATAACTAAAAATAAAAATTTCGGCATGACCTCTACAAAGAAAGTCCTACTACGACTTGCTGAAAAGTATATAAAATACAATGGTTTCACTTGGCTTCAAAACTAATCTATCCTGTCCCAACGCACAATGCAATAATGTTCTACACGTCATGGTCACTTACATCAATAATTTAATAGGATATAACATCATTTTTCCCATTCAAATAAGATATATTGCATAGTCTTACATTTTGTCCAAATTTACATCAAAATAGAGCCAAAGGCTCATAGTTAAATTTACAGGGCTATGCTAAACACTTTAAATATATATATTAAAATGTTGCCTTACAAACCCAAGTCTACAAAAGGTTGCTAAAACACACTTTAAGTTTCCCCTTCATGTTTGTAGAGGGATGTCCTCCACCACCTCCTTTCTGTGATCTAAAAAATGTTAAATATAAGGGGTAAGCAAATTGCTTAGTAAGTGGTGCCTAAGACACACCTCTTGTGATCCTGTAAATCCAAATAATGAATAAAAAAATAGATAAGCAGGATCATGCCATACCGGGGTAAACATAGCAACAAAATCGACAGTCCAAATCATAACTAAATTATGCCATGCAATGGGACGCGAAGTCATGCATATCACTCCCCATTTTTTCAAAACCATTTCTACCATCATTCCCAAATTGTTAATGTAACCCGTCCCATGGCAGCTCTATGCCGGCACTAGAGAAGGCTTGGCTAACTGTCCCTAACCACAAGGCAAGCTCCAGGGCGTCATTTGGGGCCCAATTGACTCAACCATACTAAGGCAGTCTCCCTAGTTCTCTCTAGGTCATATTAATGCCACGGACCCATAGGCAATCTCCTAGGCGACCAAGTTTTTGCAAACTTTCCATCAAAACCTTTCCTAAAATATTTTCTTTTATTTCTTTCAAAAACAAATTTCCATTTCAAATCAAAATTTTCTCCTTTTCATGCCCAATGTCATGCATGAATGCATCATGCCTTTCTATACCATAATTGTTCACATATTCACATTTAAACCACATATCATACTTAAGAGAAATTTGTGTAATACATGTACCATGTTTTCATATTATAATTATGGTAATTTAAATACACAAGGCATAGAACAAAATCACTTAAAACATGCTTTTTCACAACACAATAATCAACAACATAGTCATATACATTTAATAACACATAGAGTCATGTATATACACATGAAATTCAAGCATATAAATTCAACTTTAGCATGTCATCTCATATAATTCAAATAGGCAATACATATATGGTCAATTATTACATGATATACAATTATTATATTAAATACACAAGACTTATATAAGCATAAACAATTTTCATTAAATTAAAACATGCTATAGCCAAATTTTTAAGGAGAAAATTCACAAAAATCAAATAATGTGAGTATTAGCGACCCCTATCTCAAGAATTGCAAAAACCCCCAATTTGCCCAATCCAAGCCCTAAAATTCGAAATTTCAAAGTGCCCCAAACAAGGATTTGCTCCAATCAAATCGTAGATCTCGCCGAGATCTTTAATTTGCCTCAATCGGCATCAAAAAACCCCAAGTGATGAAGGAGAAATCAAGGATTTAAGATGGTGAAAGAAAAAAGAAAAAGAAAGAGAGAAAAGAGAGATAGCCGTGAGATTGAGAGAGAAAAGTAAGGCTAGTAATGGTCTCTTGACCATTTAAAAGAAAAGAAAAGAAATAGTGGGCCCCACCAAAAATTTAAATATTTTCCTCTTTTTTTTTTTCTTTTTTTTTTTTCCTCTTATTCTCACTACAATTATATATACGCAACTACATAAAACTCACATAAAGCACATTAAATAAAATGTATGAGATGCAAATAAACTCAACTAAAATTCCCGTATGTAACAATTTCAGTAGTGGGTCCCACACGGGGACTTTCCGGTCCGGAAAACTGAAAAATGCCGAAATGACAACCTTTGCATTTCAAATAGTCCTGAACTCAATGAAATGCCCCAACCAACTCTCGAACACACTCGGCACACCCCACGGTGTCCGGCACACAAAACGAAAAAAGACGAAAATGCCCTTGCAAAAACAGAAAATTCCAGAAATTGGAAAATGGTAAAAATTGAAAACATTACAAGTATTCAGCAATATTTTTTAAATTGACGATTATCGGGCCTCTTAGAGCACTCCATAATCTAGCACCGAAAATTTTCGGAGGATTCAAACTCCCGACCTCCAAGATGTGAATCAATAATCTTTGTTGCTAAGCTTTCCCTTAGGGTTAGTAATGAAAATTAAAAATTATTAGGAATATAAGCCAAAACGTCTCCCAAATTGTACTCAATTTCCATGGGAGTTTCTTTTGAAGCAAGAATGAGTTGATCTAGTGGTGGTTGCAGCCACAAAGGACTATCTAAATTGATTATTTCTGCCAGTAAGCTCCAATTACACACGCACGCGCGCGCCCACACACACACGCACAAAAGTTGTTTATCTCTCCTATGGCTATTATCTCAATTGTTTTTGTGGGAAACTAATAACTTGAACCAGCCCTCATGTTCCTCGTATGAAATATTTGAAATACAAGAAAGAAATATTCAAATAATATTTTTTAGGGTTAATTTCACTGATACCCTTTCAGATTTGGTCAAATATCACATTAAAACACCTTTCGAAAATAACTATCATTTAGGTCTAATTTTACTTTTCCGTCACTAACACCGTTTAAAATGTGTGAAAAGATAACTTTGCCCCTAATTTTTTAAATTCATTTTAATAAAAAATATTAGCAAACCTAATTGACAAAATCGCCCCATTTGTTTCTCTATAAAATTGATACACTCCTCTTCTGCATACTTGCACCACCGCCATCCCACCTCCACAAGGACCACAACCATCACCATATTAGACTACCTGCACCAGCATCATCCCCACCCCCACAACCACTCTGTGTTAAGGTAAAACAACCACTGCGTGTATTCTTTACAATATATATATATATATATATATATATACATATATATGCATACGTATCACTGTGAAGTCTAAAGTTGAAGATGGAGTATACTAAAACAGAAAAATCTCAAATGTCATTCCACTTAGGCAGGCACGAACCTAATTCACGGATCCGCCCCAATTTAATTTTTTCTAATTTACATTATTACCTATAATTTTAGTTAAAATTTCAAAATTCCCCCACTTAATTTTTTAAAATGCCCCCTTCACGTTTTTACCTCACTGATTTCTCCACTGAATTTTTTCCAATTTATATTATTACCTAAAGTTTTAGTTAAAATTTCAAAAATGCCCCTACTCAATTTTTTAAAATGCCCTACTTCACAAATTTAATATTTGTCTACAATTGTTTTTTTTTTAATCTTCGACGGCGCCCCCATCCCCTCAAAAAAAATTCTTGGGTCTGCCACTACACATGGGGCGGACTGACAATGTTGGCAACACATGGAATTGTTGGAACCCTAATTGACACGTCGTGGTCGGCTAAAACAACAAATTGGGGAAAAACGGATGCGGCGCCAAACTGCCACTGCACGCACACAAACAATAGTGGCGATGACAGCATCGAAACTGCAATTGAGCCATGAAGCCCATGGCGGCGATGGAACAATGTTCAAAAATTCAAAGCTGGCTTCGGAGACAAGGCCTGAGCTAGAAAGGCCGAATTATGTTCTTTGTTTTTAATGTATTCTTCATCTTGTGAATAATTTCTTCTTCTTCCTCTTGTGTTGTTTTTTTTTTTTTTTTTTTTTCTGGTCTAATAATTTCCTTTGTCATTTAAAGATTTAAAGAGATTCAATCAATGACACGAGGAAATTAAATTTGGTGCAATGCAAGGAACGGCTAATATTACTTTTAAATAAACACTGCTCTAATTTTTTTTAGTGCAAGAGAGAATAATTTGACTCTTATTGTTCAAATTGAAATCCTGCAAAGTGGGGTAATTCAGAGGCAGCCAGATGATCAGATGATTTATTTATCAATTCCATTTTTTTGTGAAGTGGGGCAATTCAGAGCCGCCAGATGATCAGACAATTTATTTATCAATTTCTTTTTTTGTTGTTTATATGATGTGCGAGTTATTGCTTGGTATGAGATAAATTAGGAGGCAATGTTTTCATTTTGTTAAGTAGTATATAAAGATTTTTTGCTGCATATATATATATATATTTCTTGCTAAAAATGATGGCATTGCGAGTGTTTTTGGTTCGATTTTGGAATCTTGTTGCGTGTTTATTTTAGCAGAAATAGTTTACAGAATGTTATTTTAAGGTCAAAGGGAGTGCTTGGAAAGGTTTTGCGCGCACACGTTGTATCATATCAAAATGTAGCCGGTATAACAAACTAATTACAATTTTCTATTTACTGGTAGAAGTGAATTTTACCATCTAAAGAAAAGTATTATTGATCTCAAAAAGTTACTTGACCTTTAAACCTGTCTTTTAGAAATCACATGTTTTAGATTTGCTGGATGGATTACAATTATTTTCGAACAAAATATACGAGGAAACAAAAAAAAAAAAATCATAAATTATTGGTGCTTAACAAATAGGTTATATGTTTTTTTTTATGAATTTTTATGTTAACCAATAAATTTTTTTTTTTTTTTTTTTTGTTTTTTTAGTTTTTGTTTTTGTGTTTTTTTTTTCGTAGTTAAAAGTAAACAAACGTACACATCTACAAGATAATTACTGATATGGAAAATATAGTACAAAAGCAAAATGCAGCCAACAAACTACAGCAGATATGCAGAAACATATCATTTGACAACATACTACAGCTAAAAACAAAAAAACACACGCACACAACTATCATCACAACAAAACGAAGAGTTCACACAAGCCTACTAACAAAACACCACACCAACAGCAGAGTACACACAAGCCTCAACCCAAAACAGTATCTAACAAGACCCCAAAAAAGACGCCGATACAACAGCAGATATGCAGAAACACATATTGACAACAAAACCAAGCTGCAAGCCTTTGCTACAAACAACAGCAAAGCTGATAAAGAAAGCCACCATGTGCAACAAAAGTTTGTCTAGACAAACTGCTCTAAAATGCAAAAACTCCCAAAAACGCCTCTCAACCAGCATTTGATTTTGTGCAGAGTTTCTTCATATTTTTTAGGCCCAGAAATCTGCTTCTAATGAAATTGATAATTTTTGCTTCAATTCAAATTTCTCATAGAATTTGGCATTTCTCACTAACCACACAAAATAGACGGTAGCTGCAAAAGAAAGACTACTAACCATATACTGATCATACTGAAGCTGCTTAAACTTGAGATTTGAAGAACGCCAGTCTAGGATTACAAGTTATTTGATTTGGCCAAGGTATAGGAAATCGGGAGTTGATTCTAGCCCACATCCTGCTAGTTTCTTGACATTCAAAAAAATAAGTGCGAGTGAGTTTCAGGCTTCACAATTATGGGATCTATCCCCGTAAAGTCCAACCAACTTAATTCAAGGTAACCCTACAATAGTCCCAAGTCTCAAATTGAATATCTTCACATAACAAAAGTAGACATAATTTTGGTACAAAATGTTGAACAAGGAGGTGCATCAAATGAGATGTGTGTATTTTAGTACCCAGCGATCTTGTAAACCGTTCTGCAGTCCTGGACCACCATATTTAGAACTTTATATATATATTATGTAATATAGAAATGAAAAAATAAAAAATAAAGAGTTTATAAATGCAATTCTTAGGCATTCCATTAGGTATTGAAGTTTCATAAACAACGATTTATTTGACAAACCATGTACTATCAACAAGATCTAAATGGAACAGTACATACTAATAGAAGATTAAATAAGAGAAACTGACAGTTTAAAAAAATTCAATCAAGAATGAAATGTAAAACATGATGAAATACAGTTATAACAAAAACAGTATACATTAATATTTCCAAATGCATGTAGGCAAGCTTGTTGGGTTTATATCATGTTATGACTTAAAGTGGAAGAGCGGATTTAGATCTTTTGTTGCAGAAAGAAAATAGCCAGGACCAAGCATCGTGGGCAAAAGCATATTTAAAAGTGAAGCAGATTAAAGAAAGAGTAGGAAATATTTCAGAACACAGTCAGTACTACTTAAGAGAAGTAGTATATTGCAAAATAGAAGAAAAAAGTTTAGTATTATATTGCAAAATAGAAGAGAAAATGCATTGAACTTTGTTCCCTAGCTGTCCAAACTGCCTTACTTTATTCCCTTCTGATATCCAAGCTGTTACTGATCTCTAAAGGAAATAGGCTTAAACCCCACCAGCCGGAGTGAAGATCCAAAATCTACAAATTCTGTGTTAGTCCTCAAAACATATACACTGAAAATAAGTGAACAAGTGGTAATGGAAGTGAAATTAGGAAACCTATGTTTTTCAAGCAGAACAAGGGAAAGACTGTCACTTCATAAAATTCAAAGGATGTGAAAATTTCAGTTACACATAAATTTTATATTGTGAGCAATACATTCACTTACTCACATTATTATATTGCGTAGTTAGTGCTGTTTTCAGTTGATCAGGCTCAACAATAGTTCCACGTAATAGAAGCAATCACCAGCATCATACAGAATCACAGAACGTATGAATTTGAAAGCAATAAAGAGACTGCAACTATCAGCATATCATACTTAAGCACATTCAATAAAGGAGGTATCCTTTATTTCCTTGACAAGTAAAATTGATTTTATAAATTGGATTTAACTTCCTAACCAATAACACAATTCCAAATACTCATAATTCCTGCCTCCAATGCTATGTAAAACAAAATGGGCAATTCATTTCCACACTGTCCAAATGCATGCGGAACACATCCTTCATCTTCTAAACACAATGGGTTTTCTGGCACTGTGCCATGATATGTTTGATTGAATTTAGAAGAAAATTACTATGGAAATGGATCATGTAAACATTTAATAAATATATATTGTTACATTGTAATTTACATTTCTTTGAAAATCATTAGTCTTTTTTGTAGTGCAGATTGTTAAAAGAAAAAATAATATTAAAAGAGAGGAGAAAAGGCCAAGCGTTTGTATATTATTCCACACATACAAACTGTACAATAGAGACTTATGTATAGGAAAGTGTTAGGGGTTGGTGAGTGCTATACAAGGCAACTAGGTTGGTGAGTGCTATACAAGTAAGCTATACACAGGGCCGACTCCATACAATTGGATGCCTAGGGCGAAAACTTTAATCAAGGCCTCCAACACTACAATCTTCTTTATTTCCTTTACATTGGCTTTATTTATTTTTATTTTTATTTTCATTTTTCTTCTTTGGATAATTTCACCATTAGCTACCACCACGGCATCGAGTTTCTTCAACTCCAAAGGATTCCAACTCCAATTACTTACACAGGCATCGTAGACACAACTTACACAATTTTATTACACTGGCGCACCTTTTTTTTTTATCACTCCTTCAACATGCTCGCACACACTTACACAAAACAGCTCTCACTCCCATCTAGGCAAACACCACATACACAAAGATAATTACACACACTAATGCATAACAACCACACCAACATACACACAAATTCAACTAACACAAATCATACACCACACAAATTCAAAATCGTCAAGCACCAAGACATTGTATCATATTATACTACTATCGTTATTTTTTTCTCTGACAGTCACAAGAATAATGGGAAGTATTTGAAATCATGTAGGAACAAAAGTAAGATTTACAAAACCTCAAGGGGTTGGCTCAAATGAGTAAGTCACTTGGCCCTCTAAGGTTTGACTCCTCTTGCATGCAAACAATTCCTTGTGAGGGGAGTCTGTGAGTATCAACTAGGAAAAAAAAACGAGTAAGATTTACAAGAATGATAACATTATTTAATTTTTTTTTTTTTTTAAAACAACTTCTTAATTTTTGATGATTGTAATTGTTTTTATTTTTTATTTTTTATTTTTTTCTTTCTTTCCTCTAGACAGTCAGGAATGGTGGGACAGAATAGCTTTCCCTGCTTTCAGTCCTTGGCTGACAGTAGAGGAGAGGGAATTTGACAATCAAATACAGCGAATTCCAGGGTAGAGTTATTGTACTTTCTTTCCTTCAATAGCTTGCAGTAATGGAAGAGAAAATACGAGTCCAAAGGCAAGGTAAGAAAGGGTTTAGATAATGGAGATATTAACTCTCTCAGGAACCAGTAACAGTAAACAATGACAAATTAAGACCGATCAGATTCGAACTTTTCCTAGAATAGTTTCCAGTGCAAAATGAAATTCATAGGATATATATATATATATATATGAGTAATTCAAAATAGAAATATAATATTGATAGGATCCGATTCATTTTAGAAATGAATAAATCAAATAGGATTGATTATGTATCAAAATTTCATTACTACATCAACGGCTTTTTTTTTTAAAAAAAATTTTCATGTTTCAAAATAAAGTTAAATTCGAGAATTTACATTTTCAAACCAAATAAGTTGGTAGATTCGTAACTCGAGTTATTAAGTTAGAAGATACCATATGAACATGGAAAAAATGTGTGAGAGAAGTAGCAGAGTCCGTCTTTTGTGTTATTAGAATTTATCATGGATGTAGTTTAATAGATCATTACATCAACTTTTTTTAAAATGATCCATATAAATATTGGAGAGAAAATATAAATAATAAATTTTATAATGAGACTTACATTTTTTTTTTATTAAAAAAAAAAAAAAAAAGGTTACTTGGAGGAAAAAAATTTAAGAAAAAGAATTAGGGGGCCTTTCCGCAAACGGGGCCTTAGGCAACTGCCTATGTCACCTAAGGCTCCTGCCGCCCCTGGCTACACAAGGCAATTGGGTTGGTGGGTGCTATACAGGTAGACAATAGGGCTGAGGTTTATTACCATGAAAACAATGGAGCATTTTGTTCACTAAGGCTGTCTCAAGTTCATCCGCTAACCTAGAGTTTGTCCCACAATGCAGATCGGAGGACAAGGTTAACATTGAAGATTCAGATGTTGCTGAAAAAGTTGATTACTGGTGTAACTCTATCATGGGCTATGTGGTTGGTAAACGACCATATCTCCCATTTTTCAAGAGTTTCTTATTTAGGGTTTGGAAGCCAAAGGCAGACATGAAAGTGATAACTTGAGAGATGGGTTTTTCATGGTTTGATTTGATGATACAGATGATATGGAGAGGGTTTTACCCAGGATACACACGTAGGAGGGTCAACCTATCATCATTACAAAATGGCACAAGGAGTTTAACTTGCAGAAAGATAGTTTGGGCTCGGTTCCAATATGGATAAAGATACACAATCTAACAATTCATTGCAGAGGTATCAAGGCTGTATCCAAGATCTGTTCGAAGTTCTCTAAGCCTTTGTTCGTGGATGAGTTATCTCTTGCTAGGGAACGAGGATCGTACGCACAATGAATGGTAGAAGTTGATATACTTGCTAGGGAACGAGCATAGTTGTTAAAGGCTCAAGACGCACAAAAGCGCAAATGCCTCCTGGAGCCTGAGGCGCAAGGCGCAAGGCGAGGCGCGCGCCCAACTGAAGCAAGGCGCATGTTGGAAAAAAAAAAAAAAAACAAAACCCACCCAATAAAGTATTAAAGATGCAATAGTATATATGAAGATGTAAAAGTCAACTAAATGAATTACTTAAGTTAAATATTCAACAAAAAGATGCCAAAACCAAGTAAATCAAGTACTTGAGTTCAACAGTGAATAATCAAACATATTAACATAAAGAGCAAAATTTACATGTTTCCATTTTCACCGAGCTTAAGTATAATTTACTGAAGAGCAAAAGAATTTGGAGAAAAAGCAGTCCGTGACACATGATTACACCAAAAATATTAGTTACTTTCTATTCAGCTCATCATGGATTTAACTCAATCATTACCTTAGGAAAGTGGTATATATGCAAAGCACTTTTTTATCTTCTTTGTGCCTAATGGTCCTTAATACTCGAGAATATTAATTATCACAAAAGTTGAAGCTGCCAAAAATTTCGATCCAACAATGTATACCAAGATTTTACAAAATTAGAGTACACTTAACTAATTATTTCATTTTAACAAAATTTGATAAAAATGCATTTCCTCAAACCAACAACATGTTAGAATGGAACAAATACAACTGTTCACACAAATAAATCAGGTAAATATAAAGTACCTCACACAAATAAATAAAAAGAAGAAGAAGAGAAGACAAAAAAAAAAAAAAAAAAGATAAGAAAAAAAACTGGAGAAAGAAAAAATAAATAAATAAATAAATAAAGAAGAAAAAAGAGAGCCGAGACTCAAGAGAAGAAGAAAAAAAAAAAAAAAAGACGAAAAAAACTGGAGAAAGAAAAAATAAATAAATAAATAAAAATCTGCCAAGAGAGAGCCGAGACTTGAGAGAAGAAGAAGAAAAGAAGAAAAAAAGAAAAAGAAGAATAAAACTGGAGGAAAAAAAATAAATAAAAAAAATAAAAAATAAAAAGAAGAAGAAAAATAGAAATAAATGACATAAATATCTGGCAAGAAAGAGCCGAGAGGCCCCAAACTCGAGAGAAGAAAAGAAGAGAAAAGAAGAAGAAGAAAAGAACAAAAAAAGAAGAAAAAAAAAAATATGACCGAATCACCGATCCGGCAGATCCGAGAAGAGAAGGAGGAGAGAAGAAGAAGAGAAGGAGAGAAGAAGGAAAGAAGAAGAAGAACTAACCTGCCAGGAGAGAGCCGACGCAGATCCGAGAGTCCCGAGTGAGTACTTCGCTGCCTCTATCAGTCTGTCTTCTTCTTTCCTTTGCTTCTCTTTTTTTTTTTTGTTTTTTATGTTGCAAACTTGCAATAGGCTTTGGCTTTGAGCTTTCTACTTAATTAAGTAATAAAATAATACAATACAAATAATATAACAATACAGAGTCACAAACAAAACAAAAAAAATAACGAAAAGAAGTTAAAAACAACAGTTTCATGCAGCGCGCCTTTCTAGCGCCTGTAGCCTGGCGCCTTGCTCCTAAAGGCGCACGCCTTATATAACCCAACCGCCTTGAGTGTACACTCAAGGCGCTAACCTGGCGCCTGGAGGTGCGCGCCTCCAGCGCCTTTGACAACTATGGGAATGAGGATCGTACGCACAATGAATGGTAGAAGTTGATATACATGAATCTTTTCTAGAGAAGGTGGTGTTTATTTTGCATGGTTCTTTGTTATCTGCAACCATTGAATATTCATGGAAGCCACGATTGTAATATATGTCATGGTATCGATCACTTGGTGGAGGCTTGCCCCAAGAAAGTTGTGGTTACGAAGAAACCTAATCAGAAGGTTTGCAAG